GTAGGGCCTCTACATCCTCTAGCCATTAATATTTAAGGAAGAAACAAAAAATAGTGGTAACAAGTGTGTAAATGTGGAGACTGCACTTGGGAAAAGTGGTTACAGGTTCAAGCCTTCTTTGTCTGTTTATATCTGGGAATTTGTCATCCTGGTAAATTACCTCGAAACTCTGCCTGTCTTGAAAACCAGTGGGCCTCTGCCTGCCACACCTATATAATGTATGTAAAATGTTGCCAACAGGTACATGCTGGAGAGATAGAATATGTGGAGAGGGCATGTATGTGAAGAACCTCACCTGGTGAATTTTGGGAAGAGGACTTCACAGAGGAAAAGCCTGAAAAATATGGGTATCAATATCTGTTAGTACTAATGGACTTTTTCAGCCTGGGCTGAGGGATTCCCAACAAAACCCAAAACTGCTCAGGTCACTGTTAATTCCTCAATTTGGCTTACCCTTAGCAGTAGAGTCCAACAATAGTCTGTCCTTAATGGCCCCAAGTTACTCAATTATCAGACAAAGCCCTAAAATAAATTGGAAATTACATTGTATAGACCTCAGAGTTCAGGACATGTGGAAAGAATGAACAGGACCTTAAAGGAAACCTGAAGTAAATTAATTACAGTCTGGCCATGACTGGGTAAGGCTTCTCCCTTTTGCTCTTTGCTGAGCAAGATGGATTATTCAGACACACTAAGAGGATCCCCTAAAGATAAGATTTATCAAGTGTTAATATGGTTCTTGTTTTTAATGCATTACTATGGGGAGATTTTCTGCCCACACCTTTGTACAAGCAACCTGGTTTTTAGCAGCAAATTTTTTATTGTGATTAACTGATTATATAAATTTCACAAGTTTAACAGTATTGTGAGATAGTGATACTTAAAGTCACAAACATATTCTAACCTTCATGGGACAAATTGTCTTTATCACAGTCTATAAAGTTTATGAGTTCTATGAGCTTTGACAATACAGTTTTTTCTTCCACTTTGGGTGATATATACATTTCTTTCCTTTTGCTTAGTGTCAGCTGTTCTCTTTCCCACTCATTCCTTCCTCCCATCACTGCCATTGAGTTGCTTAGTTCATTTTGATCAATGACCAGTGCAGCTGATGGGTCCCACTGTTGTATGTTTTCCCTTGTTTCCCTATGTTTCTGTGTCCTCCTCCTAGTTTCCCTCAGATGTGCACATATATACCATATATGTGGTCAGCAACATGGAATCATTTAATATTCATTCAGCCAGCTTTGTCCTATCTCCTTATGATTTGGATTTAACATCCACTTATCAAGGAGACCACGTGCCATTTGTCTCTTTGCTCTTGGCTTACCTCACTCAACATAATTTCTTCTAGTTCCATCCATTTCCCTGCAAATGCCATTATTTTGTCCTTTCTAATGGCTGCATAATATTCCATTATATATAGGTACCAGAATTTTTGGATCCATTCATTTGTAGTGGGGCATCTGGATTGTTTCCATATCCTGGCTATTGTGAGCAGCGAGGCAGCATGTTTTTGTTGGATTTGCCACACTGTAAGCCTGTTTGATGGAGGAGTGGGGAAGTTTAGGATTTGGCCCAAAAGAGGTATGTAAAAATCAGTGATTTGAATGGACAGAAAAACCAGTGGGTAATGTGAGAACCAGAGGAGCAGAGGGTTACGCCCCCTGCTGATGTCACTGCCATGCCTCCTGCCTTCTGCCTTCCAGAATGGATGAGGTATCAAAGGGAGTGGGGCAGTGGGCAACTTGGGGGTTGGGCCACGGGATATGGAGGGGAGTTCTGGGGAAGGGGTAAGAAAAATGCAGAGAGGAAGATTGAAAAAAAGACGAAAAGAAAAGAGACACACAGTGTAGAGGGAAGCAGCAAGACACACTGGAATCAGAGAGCCCAAGAGAGGTGTGTCTTGCCTGCAGGCCCTAAGGAGAGGCCTGCAAGAGGTTTGTGAGGCTTGGGGAGCCTGCAGAAAGGCCAGAGAGGTGGAGAGGCCAGGAGAGGCTTGCAGGGAGGTGAGACCTGTAGGAAGTTGGGAAAGAAGAAAAAAAAAATATCTTGCCCCTTGGAGGTTTCAGCTGCTCCTAGTTCTGAGGCAACCCAGGACAGGACAGTTACAGACTGACCAATAAAACTCTATTGTTACCTTTAACTGTGCCTGGGTGGATTTTCTTGCCTATGGGTTGTTACAAGGACTAGCACTGTACTGCTTTAATCATACCTCCACTTCTGGCTTTTGGATAGTTAACTGGAAATAATACTCTCACAGTCTATCCTGGCCAGGCTGACTTCCAAACTTGATTCTCAGACCTCAGCCTCTAAGTAGCTAGGATTACAGGCTTGAGCCACAAGTGCTGACCCCAAGCATCTTAGATTTGCTTATGGCCATCCATGACTCCTATGGATGGAGGATCAGGTGTGCCTCCAGCCTGTGTTCAATCTGGATTGTTCCTACTTCTCATGTTAGAAAGTTCTTATCTGCTAACACCATCCCTTGCTACTACATGTCATGAGCAAAAATTTCACAACTGTCCAGACCTTCCCTTTTATCCTGTCTTAATGAACTTACACAGAGAAAATGGTGAACTTTAGTGAGGTCCAATTTCCTAATCTTTCTTTGAAGAAGTGTATTATTTCAAATCTAAGAATGCTATTTTTTTATTATTTTTTTATTGTGAGAATACCTTACAGAGGAGTTACAATTATATGGGCAAGATAACAAGTACATTTCTTGTCAAGCATTGTTGCCTCCTCTTTGTTTCTCCTTCCCATCCCTTCCCATACTCTCCCCACCCCCCTCCCGAACTTCCCCCCCCAACCAAAGTTGTAAAGTTCGTTTTTCGACATAACAACTTGTACAGCTCATTGTTGCAAAATGGGTCAAAAGATTTTCTGTTCTGTGTTTCCTAAAAATATTAAAGGATGTTTTGTGTGTTGTTTCAGAATGCACTTTAACTTTCTATTTTTGTGTCTGTATGTTGGCCCTGAGGCCTGAACTCAGGGCCAGGGTGCTGTCCTTGAGCTTTTGTGCTCAAAGCTAGCACTCTCCCGATTGAGCTACAGTGCCACTTCTGGGTTTTGGTGGCTAATTGGAGATAAAAAGTTCATGGACACTTTCCTGCCCGAGCTGGCTTTGAACCTGGATCCTCAATTCTCAGCTTCCTGAGTAGGTGGGATGACCTATAGGCCACCAGTGCCCAACTTCATTTTTGCTTTTTTGGTTGGGCTGCTAGATCAAGAACCTCTTGTCCATGCTACTTATCACATGGTGGTGATCATCACCATTCACGGTTGAGGTGGCACCTCACAAACCTTTGCCTGTGTGGACCTGGAATCCTGATTTGCCCAATCTCAACCTCCTACATGGTAGGATGACTGACACTTTCTCATGTTTTGTTGTAGCATTTCAGAACTCTTGCTTTGATCTCCTGAACTAATAGCATACTACTTAGAAAATTGTTGCCTATGTCTGTTAAGTGTTTTTCAATGTTTTCCCATAGAGTTGCAATGTTTCAGGTTATCCATTAAGATATTGACCTATTTTTATTGATTTTTATATGGAGAAAGAAAGGATATAGTTTTAGTCTTGTATCTGTGCATATACAGTCTTCCCTTTCTAGCATTTATCTTTTTCTCTTTTGCATAATAATCATTGTAACCAGAGTAAATTCATATTTAATTTGGGTCTAATCTGTGTTTTCCTGATGATTAGTGATGTTGACCATTTTTCATGAATCAATTGACAATTTCAAGGTTTTCTTCAGAGACGTGCATAATTTTCAGGTTATTGTTTATGTTGTTATTGTTTTTTTAATGAGACAAATCTCAATATATATGTCACATTCATATTGAACTTATTCCATAGTTCAAGGTGGCCTTGAGCATGTGATCCTCCTGCCTTAGCATCCCAAGTGATAGAACTACAAGTTATCATTTGAAAATAAGTTTGTAACTGGAAACACAAATTCAACAGGAAAATAAGCATTTATTTAAATTATTTTTACTAGCAATGCACAATATATAAACAAGTCACTTATCCTCTGTGTTTTAGGAGAAAGCATAGTCCATTGTCTCCCTCCTGGAGAGGGAGACACTAATAGCTCAGAATAGAAACCCAAAAAGACATAAAAATGGCTGTGCTGGACAGCAGGGACTCACTCACGCTCAGAGCCCTGCAATCCGAGCTCCTCAGAGCCCTGCAATCCAAGCTCCTCAGGCTGCGATCTGAGGATCATGGATCCAAGCCAGCATAGGCAGGAAAGTCCATGAGATTCTAATCGCTGGTCAACTACCAAAAACCTGGAAGTGAAGTTGTGGCTCAAATAGTAGAGGACTGCCCTTGAGTACAACAACTCAGAGACAGCACCGAGGCCCTGAATTCAAGCCCCAGGAACAGAATAACAACAACAAAGACTGGCTGTGACTGGCGGGACAGAATAAATGATTAACAAAATGAGGAGGGTTGCACAGTTTGGGGAAGTAGCTATTTTGGTTCTTTAGTAGTTGCGTCAAAGGTCTTAGAATGAGAGACAGGTGCAAATTCAAAAGAATTTTATCATTAAAATCAAAACCATAAATATGAAGAATATTGATAGCAATTACAGATAGGCCCAACAAAGTGTAGCCTTAAGAAAGAGAGATTTTATTCTTTGGAACACCAAAGAACAGAGGATTTTGTCAGAAACTACCTGGACAATCATGGTGAGCTACTTTCCATTTTGGGGGTGTTTGCTGGTACTGGGGCTTGAACTGTCCGAGATTTTTGCTCAAGGCTAACTCTCTACCACTTGAGCCACAGATGCACTTCTAGCTTTTTGGTGATTCACCAGAAGTAAGAGTCTCACAGATTTTCCTGCCCAGGTTGGTCATGAACCTTGATCCGCAGATCTCAGCCTCCTGAGTAGCTGAGATTATAGGCATCAGATACAGGTGCCCATTTCCAATATCCATTAAAATAGGGAAAATGTTTCTCTGCCACCTTCCACTCCTAGGTCATGTGATTCTTCTTACCTCAATGTCCCCCTTCTGCACAGTGCCTCCTGGAGAGCCTGGTGGACCTGCTTGTTGCGCAGAGTGTAGATGACAGGGTTCAGCAGGGGAGTCACCACTGTATTCACCAGCGCCGCCTCTCTGTTAGAGTCCAGCCTGCTTGTTTGCTTCGGCTTCACGTATATGAAGACACAGCTGCCATACATCAGGGAGAGGACCATGAGGTGGGAGGAGCAGGTAGAGAATGCTCTCTGTCTTTCCTTGGCTAAGGGGAGACGTATAATGGTGGCCGCTATGTTGCTGTAGGCCACGATGGTTATGGTGAGGGATGTGAAAAGGATTAACAAGGCCAGGGCAAAGGCCATCATTTCAGCAGATCTAGTGTCAGAGCAGGAGAGATGGATCAGAGGGCCAAGGTCACAGAAGAAGTGAGGGATGACATGGGGACCGCAGAAGGACAGCCGGGAAATCTTCACCAGTAGACCAGTGATGAGTGGAAAGCTGGTGGCAAAGCAGGCAATGACCAGCAAGAAGCAAGTCCTCGGGCTCATGATGCTGGGATAGTGCAAAGGCCTGCAGATGGCCACATATCGGTCCACAGACATCACAGCGATGATGAGGAAACCAGATGATCCCACAAAGATAAAGACAAATGCTTGTATGAAACAGGCAGCAAAAGAAATGGTCTGCCTGCCAAAAAGAAAAATGAGCAGCAACTTGGGAATAACTGTGCTGGTGAAGCAACACTCAATGAAAGAAAAAACGCAGAGGAAGAAGTACATGGGTGTCTGGAGATGGGCGTCGGCACAGGTGATGGTGATGATGACCATGTTTCCTGTGATGGAGGCCAGGTAGGCCAGCAGGTGCACAGAGAAGAGAATCTTCCCCAGGTGCTGGACGGCCGGGAATCCCTCCAAGATGAATTCCTGGACAATCGTTCCATTTCCTGTTCTCAGAGACATCTTTCTCATCAGTGTAGCTAAGGTTGGCAAATTACAGACAGCCTGAGGCTTCTGAGGGAGACACAAGGCTCAGGGTTCTGCGGTGCTCTGCAGTTCTGGTGAGGATATAACCATGCAGACCATGGCACTGCCTTGGTGTGATACCTGTGTGTTCCTGACACCTAAAGATATGATCAATATCACATCATTGTTTGTCTCAGATTATCATTAGCTTCATACTTGTTGCCATGACAATCCTCATTGTCAGCCTCACTTTTGGAGACTTTAAAATATTTGGTTGCCTGGTGCTAGTGGCTCACACCTGTAATTATATCTTCTTACGTGGCTGAGATCTGAGGATCACAATTCAAAGTCTGTCTGGACAAGAAAGTTTGTGAGACTCTTAAGTCTCACAAAGAATCAGAAGTGGAGCTATGGTTCAAGCAGGAGTATGCTAACCCTGGGGAGAGGAGGGGGGAATCTCAGGGACATTGCCTAGGCCCTGAATTCAGGCTGTAGGACCAGCATACACACACAAAACACTTAGTAATCTCCTGGTCACCAAACATAGTATTTCTGGCACTCTGATCAACACTTATAAGTGTGAGGTGCCCCCACCCCTGTCTCCACAGGGGGAGCGATCTCAGCCTCCAGAGACCCAGGAAGGCCTGACAGTATGGCAGGAATGCTACCACTGGAATCGATCCAGGACTTTCCCAGAATTCCTGTTGTGTTCAAATGAGGTGAAAAAATATCTGTAACAGGATCAAATCTTATTGACCTTTCAATAAAAAACACATTTAATCCCACTCATGTTACTTTCTCTAACCAATCAGTAAATGCACATGAGTCTTTGGAGAATCTATTGGTAGCATGGCAATCTTACAGAAACAGCGAACTGACCAGGCACCAGGCTGCTCAGTGACACATGTAAGCTGCTATTCAAGGGAGGGTCTTTGTCACAGGCTCCAGCTGGCATATGAGATGCACCTAGGTCACCTGTGCACAAGATAAGCACCCTTAGGAAGGAGTCCAAGAACCCAGGCCCTCCCCCCACACACCTCAAAGCTCACTAAACCTTCTCCTCCTCTGTTCATCCTCTTACTATGTTCTTTTACAACTGTTTGACAACTAACATCTCATTACCAGGGCACCTCTGTAAGGTGCCACTAATTATCTCACTATGCTGCCCAGGCAGCCTTGCTGCTCACCTCTGAGCCACAGGACAGCTGCAGTCTGATGAGCCTGTGTTTGGTGCAGTGGGGTACTAGGTCACTTAGACCAGGCGATCACTCTGAGTTGAACTTCTTTACTCACAGCTATTCTTCAAGTACTTGAAAGTTCATCCCAGCTGAGGGGAAGGGACTAAAAAGAATTGTCATCCCAGAGTGGCTTGAACATGCACCGCTGCTCTAGCACCTCACAGGTAAGTTTGTAATGTAGACTACTTCACTTTTTTTTTGGACCAATCCTGGACACTGTCCCTGAGCTTTTGTGCTCAAAGCTAGTGCTCTACCACTTGAGCCACTGTGTCACTTCCAGCTTTTGCAGGAAGTTAATTGGAGATAAGAGTGTTGTGGATGGGCTGGGAAGATGGCTCAGTGGTAGAGCGCTTGCCTTGCATGCATGAGGGCCTGTGTTCGATTCCTCAGCACCACATAAGAAAAAAGAAAAAAGCCGGAAGTGGTGCTGTGGCTCAAGTGGTAGAGTGCTAGCCTTGAGCTGAAGAGCTGAGAGTTCAAGCCCCACAACCGGACCCTCCCCCCCTCCAAAAAAAGAGTCTCATGGACTTTCCTACCAGGGATGGCTTTTAATTGTGATCATCAGATCTCAGACTCCTGAGTAGCTAGAATCACAGGTATGAGTCACAGCACCCAGCCGGGTTTCTTCGCATGTTACCAGCTATGTCTACCTGGCAGTCCATTCCACTGAGGCCTGGAAGGGTTGAGAGCAGAATAGAACAACTGCATGCCGCTGTTCAGCTGTATGAGCTGCTGCAGGCCCCCTGAGGATCTGCTGACATAGCTGGCTCAGCCTCTCCACCAGCCTGCAGTGCCAGTGCTGTGCCCTGCCTTGCCAGTGGTGAGGAGCAGTCAGTCACGTCTCAGGGCCAGGATGGGGAGTGTGGAGACAAGGCTGCTTCTGTCCTGCTCTCCTTGTCTCTGAGGTGATTTCTACTCTCATGGCCCTGCCTTCTGTGCACAGAAGATCTGTGATCATTTGTTGTCTCAAGCATGCGATCTGCCAGCACAGCAAAGGCCAGAGGCCTCTGCCATAGTTTCCCCACGTGTATTGGGTCACAGGCAGTGTCCCCACAGCACTCCGGTCCCAGACCTCATTAGTAGCTGAAGGAGCAGGGCAAAGCCCAGCCAGGGCAATCCCCAGAGGCAGCTAATTCATCACTTTTGTGAACAAGACTATTAAGACCCTTATGTTTATCTTTACAACTTCTGAGTGAACATTTTCCCCACATTTTATTAGCATCAGTTAGCTGTACAGGTGGGACTTTTATTTTGTTCTGGTCCTAGGGCTTAAACTCAGGGCCTGGAGGCTGTCCCTGAGCTTTTTTGTTCAAGGCTAGTGCTCTACCACTTGAGCCACAGCTCCATTTCTAGCTTTTTAGTTTTTAATTGGAGATAAGTGTCTCACAGACTTGCCTGCCCCAGCTGGCTTTGAACTGTGATCCTCAGATCTCAGCCTCCTGAGTAGCTAGGATTACAGGTGTGAGATACCTCTCCTAGCTACAAGTGGGGTTTTTTCTGTCATATCTATACATGAATGTAATGAACTCTAAATCAGACTCATCCCCTCTGACATTCTCCCTCACACTCTTCCCTCATCCCCAGAACAGTTTCAACAAGTTTCACTGTTCCATTCTCTACAATTAAGCAGTATTTTGAGTACACTCAATCTCTTTCACCCTCTGTCTTCCTACCTCTCATCCCCAGTGAAGGAGTTGTTTTATATTTCTTTTAGTGTATTCTATTTAATCAATGGGGATTCATCATGGTATTTCATGCATATACATTTTAATCAGGATGACCATCCCTGGCTTACTCCCAATGACTTACTTACTTGCTTACTACTTGCTACTATTTGACAACTTTCAGTGAATGTTATTTTGCCCTCTTCATTTACAGATACTCTGTAATTTGTTATTATTCAGCTTCTAGTATTCTCTTTTTCTACCCCTCAATCCTTTCAAAGTTTCACAGTTATAAACCTGTTCTCTTTAAATTTCTATGTGATAAGAACAGGGGAACCAAGATGGCGACGGGGCAGTAGGGAAAGGCCACTGCTCTTTTCAACCAAAAAGAGAGTTCGAGTTCCAATGCTTAATCTCCCCAAGAGACTGACAACAACAAAAAGATGAACACTCAGAGAAAAACAGGAGGTGGAAAATAACAAAAACGAATGAGAGGAAAAGAAGAATTTCAGAATAGAAAAGAGTGAAGACCCCTCCCCCAACCTTCAGTGGCTGCTCAATAGCCCGCCAAGCAGTGGCCAGCGGGACGGGCAGGGGCTGCTGGGATCCCAGAAACACAGGGGGCAGTCTGCAGATAACCCGCACAGAAGCGGCCTGAGGTACTGGTGTCAGACCTGCCAACTGCGATAAACGGAGAAACGCCTGAGCCCGGAATTCGGCCCTATGACGGGAGTCCCAGAGCTACCCGGGATGCCCACAGAACACCAAAGCAAAAGACCTACAAGGAATTGGTGCTGATACAGAGAGAGCAAACCCCAGTGCTCAGAACCTGTATGGAGAACAAGTGCCCACCACTAGCCTGCTGTGTGGACACTGTGGACCTGACAGCATTGACAGAGACAGAGACACAAGAGAATCACACAGAGCCACCACCACCCAGCCCAGCCCGCAACCACCCCAACTGAACTCGGATTGCAACAGCAACTGACGACCTACACCACACAAAATCAACTAGCTCCAGGGTGAGTATCCCACAGGGGACAGTGTATCCCTCAAGGGAGACCAGAGCCTGTGGGAATCCCCAGACCCTGACCTAGACTCCCTACCCCAACAACCGGACCACAGGACCCACTAAAACTGGGAACTGTTTGAGAGCTCCACCAGCCTGTGGAGCACACTCTGCTGGCCAGGCCAGAGCAAGAGTGCCCCTGGAAGGGAGCTTAAACGCTCAAGCCAGGAACAGCGCCCCTGGGTCAAGACAACCAACAGTAGAAGAAATTTGAACTGTGTTCCCCAGGCTGCATAACCTAGATGGTATAAACAGTAGCACAGGCCCAACCGGTGCACCCCAGGCGGGGGGCCGGACCAGGCCTGGGGATGCGGCACCTGAACAACACAACCAACTCCTCTCAACTGAAGTCAAAAGCTGAGCATATGCCTCAGCAGAGGGGAGAAAAACAGGGAACTGCACCCCCTGGGAAGCACGCCTGTGACAGCAAAAGACCTGGAGGCTCAGGACAAGAGAAGCCCAAACCCCACCAAAACCCCACCCATATACTCTAGGCTGGGAATTGGGCAACACAGGCCACCAGCATCTGATAGTAGGCAGGAGCTCAGGCTGGTAAAGTGGCTCAGCCATAGAGTGCTAGTCTTGGATGCATGAGGCCCTGGGTCTGATTCCTCAGCATCACAGAAGCAAAAAGAGTCAGAAGTGGTGCTGTGGCTCAAATTGTAGGGTGCCACCCTTGAGCTGAAGAGCTGAGGGACAGCACCCAAACCTAGAGTTCAAGCCCACAACCAGCCCAAAACAAACAAACAAAAAATCAGGAGCCCATAGCAGACTCCAGCGTCTGGGAGAGTGCATCCAGAGCATCTGATCTGGCCAAGAGCACCCATAGGAGCAAACAGGAGCAGTCTAGGCTGTTCAACCCTTCCAAAGGTGGGAATTGCTAGCGATCTACAGCAGAGAGCTGTCAGAGTGTAGGTCAGACCAGCAGCTGGAGGTAGGCTCCCAACAGAACCCAGATCAGGCACAGACTCTCTCTACCAATACAGAATCAGCAACCAAGCAAAGACAGACACACCAAAACAAAAT